GTTTCATGTTTCTGGCCTCTAGCACTGTTGCTTTCAGCCACCAAGTTTGTGTTAATTTGTTAAGGCAGTCACAGGAAGCTAATACTCATGCCCATTATACAGATGGGGAAACTGATGGAACTGATGACTGGGAGAAAATGGTCATAGCTCACAGGGTAATCTGAATGATAGTCTGGTCTAGTCAGAGTGAAGGCAAGGAATTAACTTGTGAGGAGCCGTTAGGACACCTGCCAACAGATAAAGGATTTATATCCTGGAGGGAAAGGCTGAAAAAAATTCTGAGTAGGAAGAGCTAAGAGGAGAGAGGCTGGTGATGGAAATGAGGTAAGGAAAAGGAAGAGGAATGGGTCAAAGGAGTGGAAGATATGAAAGATGATGCTGTAAAGGCAACACATCTCAAAACTTGACATCTTGCCTGAAGAATCACCAGTGTCATTAGTTTTGTCAAAGCAATAATTAAATGTTTCCCAAAAAAGGATTTATTATAGACAATGTTAAGCTGTTTGGGAAAGTTGTTTTCTTCATTTGAAAAATTATGCTCAAACTTCTATTTAGAAAAACCTTTAAGAATTTTAGCAGATTTTGATAATCAAGGCAACCCCCTGTTAAAGGAGCTCCCCATTGATGGGGTTTATGTGCATTATTGAGGGTTCTATGAAAATGGAATCTTGGTGAGGACATGCTAGATTATCTTTCAAAATTCTTTTAAATTTTAAAACAAAATTTGCCAAACAACAGCACTATGTAACAACAAAAGAAGTAAGTTATCTAAGAACAGTAGTAAAATAACACACCCTGTTTGGAAAGCATTTTACAACTTATATCATATTTATATCATAGCAATTTGACTCTCACAATAATCTTTAAGGTAGATGTTATACTCATCTGTGTATTGTACTTAAGGTAAACAAGGCAGCTCTGGGAGGATGAGTAACCCTCTGTGTAGTCATAGAACTATCAAGAGAAGAGTGAGAGCTCAAGGCACATTCTTTAAATCCAAATTCTATGATTTCACCATATGTTTGAGCAAAAGTACTCTCATATAGGCAATTGAATTTATTCATTAAGAGTCAACATTTAAATCTGCATAAGTCAACACCTCTCCTAAGTGTGAGTATGACTTCCCTCACCCATATTCCTGCCAACCCTCTAATGGAATGTACTCAAAAGTCATAAAATTGAGTTTCGTTAAAATGTTTTATTACTCAGTCTTCACTGGCATTGCTTACAATGAGAATGTCTTATTAAGGTTTTGTTTAATCTGCAGAGGAGAATTGTTGACTTATGCAAATTTAAAATTACAACTTAAAATGTAAAAGACACTAAATCAACACGACACCTTTAAGGATCCAATATGCCTAAACTTCTTGGGTTAATGTCACATTTGAAAGTGTTACTTCCTTAAATTTTCTGTGTGAATGACTTATTCAGAACCAAAGAGACTTATTCCCTCTATCGAAAACATTTGCAAATCTTTTCATAATAATATTAAAAAAATACCTCCCTGAACTATTGATTTGTAAAAGAGTTATCCAGCATCAAGTTAGGAAGAAACAGACTTTAAGTCAGGTTCTAATATGGGCTTGCTGCAGTGTGCAGTCATAGCCAGGGGCCATGCTGCTTTTTTCTCTTTGTTTTATAAACCTAGCAAGCTAATGCCTGTGTCCTCATTCTTACAACGGAGTAAAAACTTCCAGTATATCCCGAAGAATAATTTGAAACTTCAAGTTCTAAGAGTTCCTAACCCTACAACATAGTGATTGTGCTCCACCCTCCTGATGTTTTCTTTCCTCTATTTCTAACTCAGCCTGGTTTTGTTCCCAGATCCACTTCACCATCACACAACTGGAGCAATTCAGGGGACTGGAAAGCATCTTCCACTCTAGGATAGCCGTTCAGGTCTATGACAATGATCTCAAAGTGTGATCTCTGGAGCAAAGTTTCAGGATCACTGAAAATTTAGAAATAAAAAATTATTGGCTCCATTCCAGATCTGCTGAATCAGAAACTGATGTAAGACTCAGTAATCTATGTTTAAACAAGCCCTCCAGGTGATTCTGTTGAAAGATTAAGCTTAAAATCACTGCTCTAAGCCAGTGAGACAGTGATTCTCACCTCTGCTTGAGAATCACTTTATGTCCAGGTCCCACCAAGATTCTGATTTCATTGATCTGGGAGTCGGAGCTGGGCAAGGGGTTTTGTTAAAAGTTCCCAAGTGATTCTCATATATAGCCAGGTTTGAGAAGCACTGATGCAAGCCAACCAGAGCACTTCCCTTTAAAATACTGAACTGCAGCTTTGATAAAATAGGATGCTTCCCACATTTCCATAATGTCAAGCTTTAGATCAAAGGTGTTATTACCATTTTTATAGCCACTGGTGGTACCACGAGAGAGCTGCAGCTTGAGGAACTGATTCATTCTATGAATGTTGCAGTTATGTTGTTCTGAGACTTCCAAGCCTAATCCTTTTTTTAAGATTTACTTTTACTTTTATTATTTATTTATTTATTTTTTTCAGAGCTTTAGGGACCCCAGGTCAGTTTATTTTTTTCCTTTTTTAAAAATTTATTTTTTACATCATTCATTTTTAAACAAGAGTTGCTTCCCCGCCTCCCCCCCCCACCTCCCTCAGTTGTATTCCCCATAGAATTTCCTTCACCAATGTATACGTGCACCATCACCACAGTCCCCTGTGCTCCTCCTTCCCTCCCTCCTATTTCTGGATGAGTCTTGCAGGTTTTGCCCTGGCCTCATAGGTGTGAACTGTCAGTAGGAAGTCTGACTACCCTGTCAGTAGGAAGCCACTACACCTGGAGGAAGTCCCACCTTGTCATTTGAAAAGACTGGGAAAAAAAGGATGTTGGGCCAGCCCCAGCTGTCCCAGTCTCCAGACACATAAAAAAAGGAACAGTAGTCTCTGTCAACCCCTGCCCAATTTACAGATTTATGAGCAAAATAAATGATTGTTGTTGCTTTAAACCACAAAGTTTTGTGATGCTTTTTTATGAGACAGAAGAAAACCAGAATATTCTCTTTATCTAGTTTCTCCCCACCAAAGGTAAAAATACATTTGCTGAGTTACATAAAGAAACATGTTAAGTGTATGTTGACTCTTTCTCAAGTTTATTTTAGAAATTTTGTTTGTGGACAGTCAGTATAACCATAATTTAATAATTGGCTGATCAATCACATATATGAGCTGGTTGTGTGTGTGTGTGTGTGTGTGTGTGTGTGTGTGTGTAGAGGCACATTCCAAAGTTTAAATTATTTAGAATTCAAACATTTTACTAAATAACCAATTCCCTTCATGAGAAAAAAATGCTACAAGTCCTTCATTTGATGAAAAACCCATTCTCTGAAGTCAGACTGATAAGAGTTCAATGCCCAAGTGCTTGACCCCTCCCAGCTCTGTATAAGCTGAGCTCCAGCCCACAATCACCTATCTAGGGAGGTTAAACAGGGCCAGTGCCTACCTCCTAACCAGCAGGAAACTACTCCAGATTGTTTGTATTTCCAGGTAAGCTTATAAACAATGAAAGTGTTAAGAAAAAATTGATTTCTGCAGCTATCCAGATGTTTGAGGAAAACCCTTCAGTTGTTTATATGCTCCTTCTGGAGCACTGGCCTTGTTACAAGACTTGATTGTGAGCAACAGAATACTTTACCTGAAGCCTTTCAAATAATATATGACTATAATATTATGCAAATTATGGGTACACAATCAACATTGGTGAATTCAACAAACATTTTGATGCCTTCTAAATCTATGCTCTTTTGTATTTCCTGTTTCCTTTGCCTGCAAAGTCTACCTCCCCTTCTTGAGGGTGTGTTTGGTGTATGCCCTTTTATCCTTCAAATGTCCCCTCTTTCATCAAAGCGGAATTAATCATTCCTTGATGACATTGTTTCTTTAATCTCTAACAAGCAGGCTTACCATTATTAAACAAAAAAAGGCAACAAACCCACAGTACTATAGACTACATGGAGAAAGACCATGTACGAGTCCCTGTAACTCTTGACAACATTCCAACCAAGCTGAAAACATTGCCATGATCAGAATTTGAGGAATCAGAATTCAGTAGGAGAAAGCAGAAGAAATGAGTCTGTTGAATCATCCAACCAGAATGGTGTCTGAAGATAAAGGGCTTTACATTGGAGGTGCTACATAAACTGAATAGCAAAATTTTAATTGATGATTTTCCCATGTTATTTTCTCAGCAAAAGATAGCAAGTTATTCAGCCTCGATAATACAGGTCCTTCACTTACCTCAGCAAGACCCAGACAGGCACAATGAACTACAAGTTTTCCAACTCAATGGCTTCAGTTTGCCCTGGACAGGGCAATGCCTGCAGCTGCAAGTGGGTCAATCTGAATGTCAAACCCACCAACTGGTCTTGATTTTTACATTCTTTCAGTAACATTTGAATCTCAAAGTTGGGCAGTCAGTAAATGGCATCTGGTGCTTTGCAAATGCAGAAAATCATAATTGAACACTTCATTCTACCACCAAAACTAAAGAAATCACATTTCCGTCACTCATTGTTTGAGAACATGTGTAGCTATGAAAGACATTCCAAGTCAGAGGTACCCATTGGTAACAGGTTCTATGTGACAAAATTCACCAAATACAACTTACCATTCCTTCCCCATGAGAAACCTACAGAAAGGAGATCATACTGGAATAACCTTTTATTCTACCACAAAACCAAGGGTCATACTGTTTTCTACACTCACTCTTGAATTAACTGTGCTCACCATATCAATTTAGACATAGTATAATAGAGAAGACCATATTACAATTGATGCCCAAGCAATGGAATGACTTAATGCTTGATACTTTAAGTACCTAGATGAAGTAGAGGGAAATCTACTGTTCTCCCTCATTGAACGAACCCTGGTCTTTCTCCAGAAAGTGTATAAGGTTCTGACACTGAACAAGCAGTAACATAGATTTTTTTTTTTTTTTTTAGGAAAGAGAAAATGCGATATCTACTTACTTAACAGTTGGCAATAGAGGGCCTGTAAACTTCTCTTCATGGTATCATCTGGTCCTGCTTGTCCTCCAGTTTATTCATGATTCTGTCTAGGAATTTGGGAGAATAAGATTGTTACAGCTGGGAAACAATTCAAACTAATAATCAGAATCCATTCATGATCCTAGTTGTAAAACCTAAAATATCCGACTCTGAAAAGGAACATTTTTGAAGTCACACAGCAGTTTATTTATAATTTATGTTATAAAACTACCAATTAATCAATTAGTGAAAATCTGAAACTAGACCTCACTGAAGGAAACTTGTATGGGTAACTAGAAAGTAAGAATTCACATTTTATTGACATTCTATAGTAAGGCTTCTAAATCTTCTCCAAAGTCCATCTATGTACTTCCTTGTAAAAATCTAGTTTTAGCAAGAACCTACTAAATTCATTTACCCAGAACCTTCCATTCTTGCTATCCAATTACCCACAATATCTGACCAAATTCTTCATCCTTCACTGTCCAAGTGAAGACTACCTTGGTCGATCTTCAACAAGAATCCTATTAGGTCAATTTAACCAGAACTCCCTTACCCCTGATGTTTACTCTCAGTAATTCCCCCAACTCCCATCTCCACACCAGTTGCTGTATGAGGATTTGAGCCCAATCTCTTTCACCAGATTGTAAATTCCATTGTAGTGTTCTTTACATCTATCTTAATGGTCCCGAAGAAAGTCTGCTTTATCATCTTAAGCAACTGTCATTAAATATTTTATTCTTTGATAAATTCCTTAATTATTCCCTCCTGGCATGCTTTTTTTTCATGGTATCCCCCCCAAAAATTGATTTTATCTTAAAAACTTTAAAAATTGACATAATTCTTGCATCACAAAATTCCTTTAAAACATACAATTTAGGGGTTGTCAGTATATTTTAATGTTATGCAGTGACTGCCAGTACCTAAGTCCAGAATATTTTCATTAGTCGAAAAAGAAACTCCAAAGTTCATTTTCATTTCCCATTCTCCCCTTTCCTCATTCCCTGCAGCACTAATATACTATGGGTTCTGTACATTTCACATAAACAGAATCACACAATGTGTGGCTTTATGTGTTTGACTCTTTAATCCAGTGGTTCACTTAACAAGGTTCATCTATACTGCAAAGCATGCTGTTTTTCCTTTTGTAAGGCACACATATATTATCATCATTAGAAAGATCTTCCTTAATCCAGAATTACATAAATACTGCTTGTATTTTCTTCTGATATTTTTTATTTCCGTTAGATCGGTTTCTGGACTTTGTGTTATGTTTCATTTTGCTGTTTTCTCATTTTCTTTCTAAACAGTAAGTGTTGTTTAAATTAAACTTGGTAGAATTAGACCCATTTTATTACTCCCTGCTTTTTAAGATGTGTCTCATTGTCCTTTGAGCTTGTTTTCCCCCCAAACTCACTTTAAGATAATTTTATTAAATCCTAGGGAAAAAAAAATCATTGGGATTATGGTGGGAATTATCTTCTACTTGCTTTATTTATTTGGGAGAGACTTGATCTCTTCAAAATTCAGTGTCAGGAGAAAAATAAATGATATTTTAAATATTGTAGCTCTGGGGATCAGAATTCAGAGGGCGAGAAACGCTCTTTTTTGGGGGGGTGAGGGTGCAGTAGCTGAATGACTTCTTTGATTAGGCAAATTAAAGCCCCTTTGCTTGTGATCTTGCTGAGTAAAATGGAGAGAAAGAGTCGGTTAAATTGTTCTTCATCATAAAATAGCAGGGGGTTTGAGTTCCCAATGGCTAGAAAAGAGGGTTTCATTGGTCTGGAAATTAGAGAGGTTGAGGAGATGATAAACAAGAAATGATGTGACAGAAAGAGGTAATTCTAAAAGACAGCAGTAGATGGAACCTAAGAATAAAGGATTAAGTGAGAAATTCCTCACAAGGGGTGACCCATGAATTTTAAGATGTGTGATAGTTAAACTTATTGTTTCTTGTTTTAAACCTCCAAATCCCAGCAAAAGGCTTGTGCAAAATAGCCTTGTATTAGTTGTCAATGAAAGAGACAATGTATCAAGATAAAGGTGATCAGAAATAGAGATAGAAGCAATGGTTAGTGGATTTCTATGGAGTATTTAGGACATGGGGAGCACTCAAGAAATGTCCAGTGAATAAATGATCAAGTAACAGGAAGAGAGAGAAATAGTCATATATCATTGATTTAGGGGAACATAAGTCAGTCAACCTTGGTGGCCTAATGGTTAAGGGGAATCTATACAAACAACAGGAGGAATAAAACTTGAACTCAGCAAAAAGAAGATAATGGTACCAGAGGGAATAGGAGAAAGGGTATAGGCATGGATGATTTGGTGGAGGGAAAATAAATAAAACAATGGATACTGACATAAGAATAGACACAATTATTAAGAATCAGCTATATTTGTGTTAAGCTTTAAAATATTTTGAGAGACAGAGAATGAAATATGAGTAACAATCCAGATCAACAGCAGAGCCTGAACAGGACAGAACAATGGCTCTCCGTCTCGTTAGGACAGGGATGACCTGATTAAGCTGGAGACCAACATACGATGGAGTGCTCTCTGGGAAAATAACATGAGGGAGAGAAATACGAGACCTAACATAACAACTATCGTCACAGGCCTGTGAAGAAATTTGGAAAGGCCCATACTCAATGTTTTACAGTTGAGGATAGAGACACCAAGAAGTTAAGCTCAAAAGCCCCATCTATAAGACCTTGAGTTAGTTTCTTGAATTGTCTGAACCACAGCTTTTAAACATATAAATGGGGCTGACACTTAAATTAGAAGATTGTTGAAAGAATGTAAATGAAGTAAAGCACCTACTGTGTGCCCAGCACATGATATGTTTCTTCACCTTTCTCCTGAGCTAATGGTATACAGACATGTTCCTTTTGGTTGTTTGGGAACCAAGATAACTAGGAAAAGATGGAATCGATATTTAGCAAGTAACCCCAGAACCTGAGCATCATAAACACTGGATTATTTCAGGGTGGTAAATATGAAAACCTCTTAGGCTCACTTACACAATAAGTCACAAATGGCTGATGTACTAACAGGCTAGGTCTAGGTTATAATGGCATTTTTAGTCAAATTCTATTGACACAGGTGCTCTGCATATTGAATGCATGAATATACTTCACTTCTACAAAGAAATGGATGGTCTTTCCCATTTTTCTTGAAACTTATGACTCTTCTAGTCCACTTTCAAATTTTCTCACTTTCATGCAAAGAAATATTTCACTCTCCTCTGAATCTACGATCATAGTGTGAAAGCATGATTACAGTGACTGACACTCCCCAGGAGTTTACTGAGTAGTGGGGATGATGATGAAGTAGAAAGCATAGGTAAATTTTGTTTTTTTGGCTCCAGCTAATTGTCAGCTGGAAAACAGGTCTTTTTTCCTCAAACTTGAAAATCTAAAAAAAATTTTCCCCTAATTTTTCAAGAGAAGCCAGACATCTAGGTGAAATCTCCTATTTTAAAACACTAGCATTAACTCACATGGGCCAAGACTACAAGACAAAAGGAACAGGACTAAGTGAGTTCTGATTTATAAAGGTTTGCCAGAACCAGCACGAACACTTTCCTAGCAAATTGAAGAGCGTGGAGAGAACCATATTGATGGAGGTGACAGGGCTGATCTATTCTCTACCCAGGCTTCATTTCCTAGTTCTCTAGCAGCCCTGGAGTCCAGAACTCAGTAAGATTTGAAGAATAAAAGTATTTATAGAACTTCCAACAGAGCTCCTTTCTTCTCCATATTTCCTTCTCTGAAAAATAAAGGAAAATATTGGAAGTTGTCAGAGTCACTGAGAGGCTGAATTCCAAATAAAAGGGCAAAAAATGTTCATCTGCTTTTCCTTAGATCCGACTACAAAAGGGAATTAACTACTATGAATTCTGCTTAGAGGACTGAGAATTGCTTGCATGCTCCTCAAAATCAGCTGCAGTTGATTTGCATTTGTGTGTGCCTGGCGAAGGGTGTTATGCTGTCCAAGACACTGATGTCAGCAACAGGGTAAAAATAGGATCATGAGCTTGAGGCTTTTTAGAATGACACAAAGCTCCTTCTTCTGCATTAAAGTATATTAAGACTTTCTATACATTTATATCATTTGAGGAGATAGAAAGGTGCTTGTGCAAAATGAAGTATACCACACTTCCCCTTTCATGAATTTGGTATTAAAGACTCAACACTGAGGTCAGGGAATTAAATGATAGTGCAGCAATGCCAAATACCAAAGGAACATGTTCTATTACTTTGACTACATTGCTTATGAAAAAGAGTATTTCTTGTCCCTAGCAAACTCATTCATTTTTTTCTTTTGTAGTATCTGAAAAACATCTTTGGGAACTGAATCCTGGACCTAAAAATTATGTGTATTTCCTTTGGGCAGCAGGCAATCTTCCTGAAAGATGTATCAAGTTTCTACCACAGAAAGGAGGTAAGGCCATAGGAAAAACTTTTATCAGAATGTTTTATATGTGGAAAGAACATTTAAACCCATGATGCTGTGGGGGGCAGAAAGGAATTCTTTGCTCCTCTGGGTTCTTCTAGACTGCTAAATAATCAAAGAAGCATCGGCCAGACTGATAAGAGGAAAGCCATTTAGAAGTTTAACAATAACATGTATAGCTCCTGTATACACGGGAGAGGCCAAGCACTACTGGCTTTAAAGGCCATCTTAAATAGCATAGGTAGCACAGGGGAGTATGAGGGAAGGGTACTTACTAAGGAAAACAAAGGTACTTTTGCTTTCTTAATTGAAAAGTGGGGATTAGGTAGGTTCTTTTGGGATAGACCCTTACAAAGAGAAGTTTAGCAATAAACATCGAAAGCAATATCCATGCAGTCTTCTGAGCCCCTCAATAAAGCTTTGGCTAAGACATATTTTGGGGCAAAAGATTTTTGCTTTTTACAATGCATGCTTTAAACAGGCAATAGGTTTCAGTATGTGAGAGTATTTACATCATATTCATGGCTAAGTTTTAATTTTGACCTCCAACTCGCTTTTTTCCATAGCCCTGCTATTGGAGTGACCCAGTGCAACTGAGCCCTACACTCTC